TTTTAACATATGCCAAAATAAAATAGATTTTAACTCATCTTCACAGCCTAGATTTCTAGCTGAGGTATTTTTATAGTACATTCTCTTTCTGTAATAGAAAAAAAAAAAAAAAAACACTTCAAAACTCTGTGGGAAGTATCAATGGAAACTATACCTTCAAAATGGCAATTTTAAAAGTAAATAGAATTTGTTACAAGATCACTGTTGCCCAATCACTCAGTACCCAAGGCTACTGCTCAGTCATTTGTTAGTGTACCATCAGGATATCCTCAAATATTTATTAACCATGTATGATGGGAACTCTCTAAAGTATTCACACATCCAAGGAATTGCCAAACTTAGTTTCCTAATTGTTGTACCTTTTACTGGCCAGGTTGTGATGTGTATGATGCAGGTCTTAGCCTAGGTTTGCTGAGACTGTAGATGGTCAGGTTCAGTAAAGCAAGAAATTTCATTGAGTATCTTATTCTGTGCTGGACTTCTGGCCTATTTTGTAATAAAGTCTTGTGGAATCACATGGGAAGCAGTCAATGAATGATTTGGAGACTGTCAGCCAAGATGTGGTATAGAAAGCTGCTCATTTCTATCAGTTGGATTTCATTCTTTGGAGCCTAGAGGCAGTAACTGATGGTATCAATGCATCTAACTTGGGTCTTCAGTGTCGATGCTTTCTTTAGGCATCTTTCCTGGTGCATAGATAAAGCCTGCACTCAGTATTTGTGTGTGTGTGTGTCAAGTGTGAGGTGTGAGCTCTCTTGTATTGGCAAGATGCCATATGAGGGCCATAGGTACCTCTTCACTGCTTTCAGTAGAATCACATTGGTGTACCAATTCTAAGAAACTAATCTCATGTTCACTGTTACTCTAGAAAAAGCAGATAAGACTTAATCCTTCCCCCATAGGAAGTCAATATAATTCATAAGAGCTCTTGACCCCTTATCTTTCTGATGTAGCTTTCATATCACAATAAAAATCATCAGTGTGGAACAGAACAGTTTGACAGGATGACTCAGTAAAGCCACAAAATGACAGATACTAGAAATAAAAAGCAAACAACGCGTGCCAGGTCATTGCTGTCAAAGCTGGATCCTTCACCTGTTGTGCCTACAGCATACACAGCTAATAGTTTGGGAGCCATGCTTTCTGTTCCCAGGGCGGATTATTGAAATTATTACCTGAAAATTTAATATGATTGTACCTATTTTCTAAGATTATGGGTTCCATTTGAAGATATAATTTGTACAGCAGTGGCCATGGCTTTGCTTGCAGTTCCCAGACTGATAATCCCAGCCAGCCCTGAAACAAGCAGACTCCTTACCTTCACTTCACATCACTACTACTTCTGTCTGCTGGGCTGCGCTGCACTCTCAGCTCTCCATGTTTGCAACCAAGTCCTCAACTTGTCTGTCTGTGTGGATCTGGGGCAAAAAAAAAAAAAAAAGCAAAATACAGCAGATGTTTAGGCCAAATAGCTTATTTCCCCAAATTTGGTGGTGAAGGCAGTGAGGTTGGGAGATATGTGCTTTGTGGTCTCTGGATGGCTCACTCATTCTTATGAGCCCTCTGTTTACTCTGTTAAATGAACAGCTATTACAAACCAGCTTTAATGCAGTCTGTAGATCAGAGCTTTGCTTGAAGGCAGTTTGTAGCGTCTTCCAGCAAAGCAGGTAGAGCACATCACGGTGTCTGATATGCCTGTAAAAAGAGCTGGAGACGTTTCACTGATAGCGGTGGTTGTATTATCCAAGAACAGTGCATAAAAGTGCATTGCATATGCTGAATGGTTTTAGTTGGGCTTCCTCTTCTGCCTTGGATCAGAGGCTGTACCTCTCAAACAGTGCTCTAAGCTTCTCACTACTTGGCATTTCGGGGGCAGACAGGACAGGAGGAGGAGGAGTTTTTTTCCAGCTTGTATTGCTTTACTTGATGTTTGTATTTAAGCATTAATTTGTTCGGAAGTTTGAATCCCGGAATGCATATATATTCATAAATTAAGTAGCATCGGAGAATGTTCTTGGGTGCTGTAACTCCATCATATGTCCTGCTGAATTGTTCCAGCAATACCTGGCCTGCCCATGGCCCTACTAAAACAGCATGGTTTTCCAGTATGATTCAGGAGCTGGTACAGGCTGCTGCAGTGGGCAGAGTGCATGCAGTCACCCCAAGCTGACGGGTAATGGTAAGAATGTGGGCTGTTTTCTGTCTGCATCTGTGCCAGGGACAACTCAGAGTATAGTTAATCTTTAAAGTAGTTTTTAATTTAAAAAAAATATATATATATATAGATATATAATTTATATTTTATATGTATATAATATATATATAATATATTTATAAATATCTATTTATATTTATTATATATCTATTTATTATATATCTTTTTATTTATATATTTCAATAATTTTATTTGTTCTCTGCCCTGCAGAGAAGGACCTGGGGGTCCTGATGGATGCAAAACCTTAACATGAGCCAGCAGCGTGCTCTCACAGCTCAGAAAACAAATGGTATCCTGGGCTTCATCAGAAGAGGGGTGGCCAGCAGGGACAGGGAGGTGATTGTCCCTCTCTGCTCTTGTGAAGCTCCATCTGGAGTACTGCATCCAAGGGTGGAGCCCCCAGTACAAGAAAGACAGGGAGCTGTTGGAGAGGATCCAGAGGAGGGCCATGAAGATGATCAGGGGACTGGAGCACCTCCCCTATGAAGACAGGCTGAGAGAGCTGGGCTTGTTCAGCCTGGAGAAAAGAAGGCTGCGGGGTGACCTCATTGCAGCATTTCAGTACCTAAAGGGAGTCTATAAGCAGAAGGAGAGTCAACTCTTTGAAGTGGTAGATAACAACAGGACATGGGGAAATGGTTTTATGTTGAGGGAGGGAAGATTTAGGTTGGATGTCAGGGGGAAGTTCTTTACTACGAGAATGGTGAGGTATTGGAACAGGCTGCTCAAAGAGGTTGTGGATGCCTTGTCTCTGGAGATGTTCAAGGCCAGGCTGGATAGGGCCCTGGGTAGCCTGGTCTAGCATTAAATAGGGAGGTTGGTGGCCCTGCATGTGGCAGGGGGGTTGGAGATTCATGATCCTTGAGGTCCCTTTCAACCCTTGCCATTCTGAGATTCTGTAATACAAATATAGCCTATAAATTCTGTATCTTACCTCCCTGTGAGAAGTCTCTCTCATTTGCTCAATGATTTTTCAACCCAATATATGGATATAGAACAGTCCAAAAAAAAAGGGGGGGGATTAAGTATTGTCTACCGAGAATTCAGAGCAGACATTTGAACCAAGAACTGTCCACTTTTCTGATGGAGAACACATCATCAATGTGTTTCCTAGGCAGTTTGGTCTCATTGCTGTAGTGTAGCTTTTATGGTGAACTCAGATGGTGTCTGAGTCAGAGGTACAGAAAGGAGAATGATGCTCAAGTATGGCCTGCCCTCAATAGGAGCTCCTGGGGACATGTCTCTGCCCTGATACACATCGGTGATACATGGTCATTAATGCACAGAGGAGACTGAAGCTGTGCGCTTGCCAGTGGTGAAAGGGGAGTAGTGTGTGTTTGGGTTAAAATCATCATGGGAAGATGAGGGAATTACTGCTCTGGACCTTAGGTTCTGGTAAAGCCTTTTTAGTCAAATGGCAAACTGTAGCTGTGAAAAGCTATTGCATCTGATTTCATTACAAAAAGAATCTGTCTTTCTCCTTCCAAGAAGCTAAGTATTGGTCAGTGTTTACAACGTGGAGGAGGAAAGCCTTTGTTCGTATTAAGTTTTGGTGCTCTAAAAAAGGAGGATTTACTGACACTGCCTGGAACAACGGTGCTGTAGCTGATGAAGACAGAGAGAAATTGTCTGCCTCGCATCTATGGAATTTCCTGCCTATCCTTCCTGAAGGCTTTGGGAAGCTGCTTCAGACAGAAAGCCCTTAGCATCTGTAAAGGGAGAGGAGAACATCTATCAAACACGGGAAGATCAAAAACTGTGACTCCCTGTGGAGTGACTGTTGGGAGGGAAACAGCTGAATAATGTTGAACACATTCAGCTCTCTGACTTCACCTAACGCACAGTGTGAAGGCTGTGTTTGTAGTCAAAGAATGAATCATTTTTATGGATAGGGAGAAGATTTTGTGCTTTTGCCTTAAAAGGTACTACACTATTATTTGTTTGAGAGGTAATGCCACTTGCTTTTGCCTCCTTTTAGACAAACATAAACATAAATATTAGTCCAGAGTATGATCTGGTTTTTTTCTTTTTTTTTTTCCTGGCCTGTCCATGAGATGACTTGGGAGGTGGTGTAGGTGCTTGGTATGCTGTAAATGTTGGAGATCTGGCATGGGCTTTTAAAAACTCAATTATCTTAAAAAATTCAAGTTTCTTAAACCTCAGTGATAATTAGTCCCACATGGATAGCAAGAATATTCAGTGCCCATGCTCACGCTTCGGAATCCAGAGCTACAGTGCTTTTGAGTACAGAATCATTGAGACAGTCCAACCCTTCATCTTGAAAGTGCCTTTCATGATTACTTTTACAAGGAGCAGGCTGTTGTCTCAGAATCAGCAAGCTCTATGGGAAGAATATTCAGTGGGGGAACAGCATGACTGGGGTTGAGCTGACAGACAGCATCGTAATGAAATAAAATCTTGCACACATGGTTGCTGTTTTGTGAATGTGACCTTCTCTTTTCCAAAGACATAAGTCTTCCACTGGGAGCTGAAAGGTACAAAACAGCCTGACAACACAGCATGTCAGTGCGTGTCTCTACCATAAGTATAGCTAATATTTCCTATTAGTACTGTGTAGCACTCTCTGGGCAGCAATCAGTTCCATTTAAATAAGATGAATATGAAAGTAATAATGTTTCAGATTTTACTCTTGTACATGCTGTCAAGGAAAGAAATGTTGATTTTTATTTTTTTTTAAATAGTCTAACAGTGAAATAAAATGAAAATGTAATTCCTACAACATGGTTAGTGCTCTTTTTAATTCTACCCTGTCTGAATTTTTTAGGGTTTTGAAGGTATTCCTGTCCAGAACCGCTCAGCGTATTCCATATATGACAGGTGGACGAGTGATGAGGATGCTGGCTGTAATTCTCCTGGTAGTGTTTTGGTTTCTTGTTGGCTGGACTTCTGCAATAACTCAAAATTTGGAGAGAAACATTCCTCTAATTGGCCAAGGGCAAACATCTGACCACCTGATCTTCAATATGTGCCTCATGGACCGCTGGGATTACATGATGGCTGTTGGTATGTTCATTTTCTAGTTTTTCTTCTAATGTCTAAAATAAGGCTTAGTTGCTTTTTCTTTGTATTTCTTTTCCTTTTAGAATATCTTAGAGCTTTATCAGGCTGCATAACATCATTAGAAAAGCATGTAAGAGAATGAAATGTTGGTTTATATGTTTTTAAACGAGCTGAGAAGTAAAACAACTAAAATATACTGAGAATTTTATGACTTTCAAAGGTTTGTAACTAAGATGATAGTAACAAGGCAATTGGTTCTCCAGAAATGTTTTTTTTTTTCTTGATTGCTGATTGTATCTAACTATTCTACACTAGTATATATAGTGAGAAATTGTGGTAGGAATACCTATGGTGGGCTTTGCATTTCTGCCCCACAGAACTGGACAGATCTGTTGTATGAGGATGGAGAGAACTTGCAAGAACACTCTTTCATAGAAAATTGCACATACTTTAATACGAAAGCAATGGGAATAAAAAATGCATACCAAACTTTTCAACTTAATACATTTTCTAGATATTCTGTCAGTGCTTGGGATAGGCAGGAGCTGAAAAAAATGCCACTCTGCAGAGTTCAGTTCTGTCATACTGAGGAAAAAAAGACACATTTTTGTTTCCTTCATTTTATAACACACAGTGAGTTCCTAATGCCAGAGTGCAGTTATATGGTGAAAGGTTCTTCATCCTCAACACTGGACAGCTTCAGTGCATCTGCACCTAGACCCTTGGTTCCAGTACAGCACAGGTGTGCCATCCACACTGTCAAATACGTAAATGTTTTGAAATTTTAACTAAGTATTTAGCTTTCTGCCCTTTCCCTCCTTCCCCATGGACATCTTATTGACAGAGACCTGCTGCTGAAAATAAGGGCAAGGTAATGGGCTGCCCTTCACATGGGAGTGAAGGCAAGATGAATAGAAACAGCCAGTGGTATTTGGAGTATTTTCTCTGAGAGTGGTGTACAGAATGCCAATGCACTGTAATATAACATTTTAAAGGACAAACCACTGCTTCCAGCTTCACCAAGAACTTTCCACAGCTCTAAGCTACTCGGTCCCCTCTCATCCCTATGCTGCGCTCTGCTCTTCCCTCCTTCATGTAAGAAATCTCAGGCACACTGTTCCTCATTTGTGGATATTCTCGTGGGTAAACAACATGGAGAGAAGTATAAACAAGTACTTGTTGAAATGTGTCTCTATCTGGGTCCTTTGGAGGGGTATACTGAGAAAATAGAACTCTGTTTTGTCATAATACAACAGTATTATCACCAGAAATGATGTAAAATTAATAACAAAGGAGAATCGAATGTGGAACATGATGCCATCTTCACTGATCTATTTTGGATGAAAATTTTACTGCGTTTCACAGCTGGTAATACAGAGTAGAATTATTACAACTTTGATGCCAGTAGTTGTTGCATAATGGCAAACAAATGTATTTATTCCCTTCATCTTACAACTGAACTGAATAACAGCTCAGATTTTAATGGCTAAATATGACCCTTTTGATACTAAATGATGTGTTGGAAATAGCAAAGATTATTTTTTAAGACAAATTTACATCTAGAGGAATTTTTAATTTATTTTTTTCCTTTTCAAGATGCACTTAAACACAGTAGAAACAAAGCTGACTCGCAAGCCTAAATACAGTTGGTTGTAATTTTGTTTGTTCTGGCATTTTGCCTTTGCACCCAGACTACCTTGTAACATTTGTGCAAGTCTTCAGTAAACTATGGAGTCGTGAGTGGTTTTGCACTTGGGCCGGAGGAATCCCAGGCATCCATACAGACTGGAAGGAGTGGTCCTTGAGAGCAGCCCTGCAGAGAAGGACCTGGGGGTCCTGATGGATGCAAAACTTAACATGAGCCAGCAGTGTGCTCTCACAGCTCAGAAAACAAATGGTATCCTGGGCTCCATCAGAAGAGGGGTGGTCAGCAGGGACAAGGAGCTGTTAGAGAGGGTCCAGAGGAGGGCCACGAAGATGATGAGGGGACTGGAGCACCTCCCCTATGAGCACAGGCTGAGGGAGCTGGGCTTGTTCAGCCTGGAGAAAAGAAGGCTGCGGGGTGACCTCATTGCAGCATTTCAGTACCGAAAGGGAGCCTACAAACAGGAGGGGAATCAACTCTTTGAAAGATTTTACAAATGCAGGACATGGGGAAATGGTTTTAAGTTGAGGGAGGGAAGATTTAGGTTGGATGTCAGTAGTAAATTCTTTCCAGAGAGATTGGTGAGGTGCTGGAACAGGCTGCCCAAAGAGGTTGTGGATGCCCCATCCCTGGAGGTGTTCAAAGTGAGACTGGATGGGGCCCTGGGCAGCCTGGTCTAGGATTAAATGTGGAGGATGTTGGCCCTGCGTGTGGCAGGGAGTTGGAGATTCATGACCGTTGAGGTCCCTTCCAACCCTGGCCATTCTGTGATTCTGCGATTCTGTGAGTGATAGCAGGATTTGTACAGCTGTAAGCCTGTACTAACCTGTGTGTACATTTATCTATGTATGTGCACTTGAAGGTGTTTATTGTTAAGAGAATCTGAAAAGGTTACAGCCAGGAGGACCTAGTTCCAAAACCAGATAATTCATATCAAAAAGCTGTCAGGAGAAATACACATAATGCATACACAGAACCCCCCTTTCATTCCTGCAGTTAACTGGGAGTAGCCTTCTGAAAGATTTTGTGCTGCAAATTATGTGATAATTATGATATTTGATTTAAAGTGGCAAAATAAAAATGCAGGATGATAATTTGTGAAAGATTTATTTCATTTGATTTAGCCAGGCACAGGACTTTAAGGAAAGCTAGTGAATATTTTGTAATATATTCTGTCACCTGTAGCCAATGCTCCAATGCCTCACTGTTTTTCACTCTGCTGGCAATGTCTCACTGAAATGTAGGGAGGGAATTTTCAAGGTCACAGATTAGTGAAGTGAGAATTAACAAGGCTCTGTTAGAAAGTCGTAATGAGATGAAGCCTTTATGCTACCAGAGATTACTGGAGTTAGGATTTATGAAGCATTTTCCATACTAATCATCCTACTTAGGCTCTATCTCCAGAGACCTTTATTGCAGTGAATGTTTTATAGTTACATTTCCATTAAGTTTGAGAGGGTGCTCTGCGAGAGAAGTAGGGACTTAGATATAAAGGTTGTCACCGTTTTTAACACTGCCTTTCTACTCTGTGATATGCTGATGAGCGAAATTAGCCTTCAGTAAATGCTTATCAGTGTAATGTAATGTAAGTTAGTATGTCCTTTCCTTGACGTTGGATACTTGTGGGGATTTTAATTGGCACTTTCCTAGATTCTTTTATTTCCATTGTGTTTGTGCACCGCTGTCAGAGTTGTGACACCTGTCTCCTAGACAAGCCATGGCATGGATCACAACCTGAGATTTTACAGAAAGTCTCAAGGGCCTTAAAAGGCTCATCCTTTCTGTTTTGGCTTGAATAAGTCCTATATCTCTACCACAGCTTGATTTCTGATTTCAAATTAGAAAAGAATAGCTGAAAAACTTGTGGTACCCAAAGGCTCGTGGTGTCACAAATCAAACTATTATTCTTTACCTGGAGGGAAGAATCATCTAAGTGAAAGAGATGTGAGCACACGACTCAAAAAAAAAAAAAACACCAACCTTCCCAGTAAAAGAAATAATAAGTTTAATGTGCAGAACCCCTGGCAGGAGAGAAAGATAGGCAGAGAGGTAAACATGCATATGCAAACACCAGTAAAAAGCAGAGGTGAAATCTTGGTGCATGAAGGATCTTGTCTGTGTTAGGGCCAGGGTTTTACCCAATGTGGTAACCATTTAAGCTCTTGTTTTTAAAAATCCCCATGTGTACCCTGTGTCTGTGTTTTGTCATTTTATTTAAACTAGAAGTTAAAGGCAGGTTTTAAACAAATGCAGCTAGGTGTTTTTCCCAGCACAAGTGTGATTCCCACTGGCAGGAGCTGTGCTTGTCTGGCTCAGCTGCATTAATTGGGAGTTCAGGTTTTGGGTTCTGGATATCAAGGGAATTACAAACACACAACTCTGTCATAATTACTGAATGCCCTCAGCCAGGAAAAGGAACAAAGAAGTATTTTAGTCTGTGTTCCCAAAAGGGTTTCCTCCCACTGTTCATTTGTTAATATTTAACCTATATAATCTTTACATCTGAAGAGGATATGAATTGCCAGGACCAGCTCTGACAGATTGGGAATTAAGGGTTCCCTTAAAGTTCTGACTTAGGGCATTGTGACACAGCCTCACAGAGACCCCTTATTAAGTTTTGTACAGGCCCTCAGCTGCATTCCGTGAATGAGTGGTTATTATTTCTTTTTGTTATCCCCATTTGATGTGGCCCTATGCCATATTTAGAGTACTTTGTTCAGAGTATTCAGTGATAGAAGAACTGTTAATTTCCAAATGAGCATTCTTAAGCCATGTTCTCCTTAGCATGAATGTACAAAGATCAATGCCATAAATTGTCGGCAAAAGTTATCTCTTGAGACATCTGGGAACTAATTCTTCTGAGCAGTGTTTATAGCCTTCTTCATATGGAAAGCCCAGCCAGAAGGTAATTGTTAGAATTCGACACCGATGAAATCTGGCTTCAGTTTTCATGTGAAAATAGTGATTGCTTGTGAAAAGCTTACTCGATAAGTGATACAACCAGGACTGTCTAAGGTGTTTACACCAGAAATAGGAAGTGAATCCTGTTTTACAAACAAGCCTTCCTCGGCTTTTACGACGACTGCCCTTGTTCTGATTCTAATGGATGGAGGAGCCATAGAGCAGTCCATTACAGTACTGAGAATTATGGTTTGTATTCAGAATCTGAGGGAAAAAAATGCTGTAGCTGTGGAACAATACTGCTTTGTGAATAGTGCAAGGTTCAGAATGCCAAACAGACTTAGTTAAAGTCAAACTTGTAAAAGGTTCTCCCTTCTTAAACACATGATGAAAGCATGCAAAGTATTTCACTATTTCTGGAGAGCAACGTCCTGCGGTACTGCTTCTTGAGCAAAAT